GGGCCCCTCCGGGGGGTGCCTCCGGGCGGGCCCCGAGCCGGCGTGGCTGCTCTGAGGGCTGAGGCTTTGCTTGCCCCCACGGAAAAACCATCTTCCCTGGGGGAGCGTGGGGCCTGGGGGAGCGCAGCTGCCGCCTCGCTGCCTCCCAGCCCTCCCACCGTGCTCAGATGAGGTACGGGGTCTTCTCTGCTGGAGTCCTGGCTGATTTACCCTCCTGCCTCCGTTTCCAGGCCGCAGGCGAGGCGAGCAGGTAATGACCTGTCTTAAACCGTGGTCTGTGACAGTGCTGGGCCGCCTCGTCTGCTGACCGCTGTGCTAAACTGGGAGCCTTGCGTACACACACTTCTGTTTTACCTTTTTATATACATTGAGTCATCTATAGTCAGACCTGCCGTGCTGTGGGTGCCTTGAGGGTCAGCAGGCTCCGTCTGCGTTGGCTGCAAGTGGGCTGCTCTAGTTTCTGGTGTTTAAAACCTATTTTTGCGGTGCGGGGGAGGCTCGGCTCGGGCTGGAGGCTGGGGATGCTCGCTGGGAGCCGTGCTCCCTGAGCAGCGCGGGGCTGGCTCACTCGTTGCGAATGAAACCCTTCCCTTGGGTTGGTGATGTCACTGGGGGGGAAACAAGCTGCTTTTAGTGGGTTTTTTGGGGGAACGTGCAGTAATGGCAGTCTCAGAAGGTGGCAGCAGAGTCTCCCGTTGAAAGTCTGGTTTGAAGTGATGAGAACATTGACAGAATGACCTGGACAGGCTGGAGAGTTGGGCAGAGAGGAACCTGATGAGGTTCAACAAGGGCAAGGGCAGGGTCCTCTGCTCTAGTTTCTGGTGTTTAAAACCTATTTTTGCGGTGCGGGGGAGGCTCGGCTCGGGCTGGAGGCTGGGGATGCTCGCTGGGAGCCGTGCTCCCTGAGCAGCGCGGGGCTGGCTCACTCGTTGCGAATGAAACCCTTCCCTTGGGTTGGTGATGTCACTGGGGGGGAAACAAGCTGCTTTTAGTGGGTTTTTTGGGGGAATGTGCAGTAATGGCAGTCTCAGAAGGTGGCAGCAGAGTCTCCCGTTGAAAGTCTGGCTTGAAGTGATGAGAACATTGACAGAATGACCTGGACAGGCTGGAGAGTTGGGCAGAGAGGAACCTGATGAGGTTCAACAAGGGCAAGGGCAGGGTCCTGCACCTGGGGAGTAACAACCCCAGGCACCAGTACAGGCTGGGGCTGCCCTGCTGGAGAGCAGCTCTGTGGAGAGGGACCTGGGAGTGCT